CCCCCCCCCATCAACCTTTTCCTGCGTGATTTGAAGCTTCCTGATGGCCCCAAATGCAGCTCCACGGCTGGTTACCCTTAATACTCCCCCTGAATTCTATAAATACACCAACATTCAGCTGGGAAAAAAAGAACTTGAAAGGCATTTGAAATGAAAATACACTTTTTTTTCCCATCACGGACCAAGTGTTTTCTCTCTGTCTTCCCCCTCTGTGATTCCAGGGTAAGCACTTGGATTTTAAACCATTAGCCCTACCTGCGTAAGAGAAGACTTTCCTTGGCAAAGCCCTCGTAGGCAGAGAAAGCCAGACGGCATGTTAACACTGGCCCTCCCACACAGAAAATCCCTTTGCCTCCTGCTTCAGTGGCCTGATTTATGGTCCTTCTTTCAGACTCTGCTGAGCCGGTTTTGAGCCAGTTTAGTAGGTTGTGAAAATGGCTTTGGGATCAGGGCGATCCGTGTCTGAATCTTGGCTCAGCCAGCTGCTAGGTATGTCACCTTGGGCCCTCTACTAACTCTCCAGGCCTCAATTTCCTTAATTATAAAATAGAAAAAACAATATTGCCTTGCAGCCTTGTTGTGAAGATCAAATGAGACGATGTGGATGTGGGCAGTGTGCTGAAATGAAATTAGGCCTCACTCCATGCCATGCCTGGAGCTAGAGGGCCAGGGGAGCTTGGAGACATGGGGGTAGTACGGTTGACCTCTCCAGGCCTTTCTGCCCATCACTTGGATTGTATAATTCAATATGGAATTCAATTTATAATTTGCTCAGTCTGCCCCTCCAGATCCCCATACTACCATTTTCTTCCTGGCTCTTTGTCCTGGGAGCCCAGTCTGCACCTGATGACCTCAGCAGGGTTGCCTGCCCTTTTGGCAGTCTTTTGGGTTTAGCCAATGAGAGACCAGATGGGAGATCAGAGGGTGGAAGGAGAGTGAGGTCAAGAATGGCTGCATCTAATGTGTTCTGTTAGGCAACCTTCTCCATAGAGCTACTCACTCTGTTGGGCTTTTGGTGCCTGTTTCCTTCTCTTGCTGAGTCAGACTTAAGGCAGCAATGGCTGCCTTTGTTGTTGGTGTTTTGTTAGTTTCCCTAAACCCTGCCCACACCTTTATAAATGGTCCTTTATCAAGCTCTCCTCAATTGCCCAGACTGTGCCATCTTTATTCTGCTAGGAAGCTGACAGTTACAGAGATTAGCCATTTTACTCCACAGCTCAGATTTGCAAAAAGGACATTATTTTATAATCACCTGAAATCCAAATATGAGATCCCATCCTGTCATTATTGGGCATCTCCTTCTCACACACATCCTGGGTGTTGCCAAGTCCTTGGGCTCTTCTGTGGGGGCAAAGCTTCAGAGAGTCACTTGCAGTCTTCTGTCGCTGGCCCATCCCAGTGACTACTTGATCACCCACCCATCATCCCTGACTGCCTGGTCCTTTCAGGTTGAATAGCATCATTCGATGCTTCCACGTCAGGCCTGGGACAAGGAGTTTGGGCCACACCAGAAGCTACTGGATTCACGATGTGGCTTCCACAGGGTATTTCTCCCTTCTTAGGAGCTGCCCCAGAACGATCAACCTGTGATCCTTTCTCATTCTCCTTAGCATCTCTCTTCTCTTGCCTTACTTTGGAAGGAACTCCTCTCTCTACTTCCTCTTGAGGACGGCCAGTATAATCTCTCCCAAAGACTGAAGACCTTTACAAAAGGCAGGAAGTACAGCTTTTGATTTCAGCCTGCAAATCTCAAGGCAATGCACATTGTTTCCAGAGGAGGGGAAACAGAAGGCGTGCACACAGAAATTAATATATCAATAAATTCCAACACATATGGGAAGCATTTAACAGAGTTCCTGACATACAGTAAGCACTTAGTAAGTGATGACATGATTATTATTTGAGCCCAATAAAAATGTTAGTTACATCCTATTTTTTCAATCCATACTTGTACCCAAGGACTTAATAGGAATTGCATATTATTTTGACTCTTCTACACTACATTGCCCATTAATCTCCCCAAACCCATTAAAAAGCTATTTTACAAAAATGTAGTACCAGACACACATTTAACAAGACCTCTGGAATCTCATCCATCCAGTTGAATGTTTCACGTATTATTTATCTTTTTACCTTTTAGAAAAGCACATTGTGCTACTAAACATACCCACAAGATTAAATTGCCAGAGCTGAGGCTATTTAGGATATATGCAAAACTCAATTCAGGTTTCTGTTTAAATTCAATTTCTTTCCTCTCCAAGTAACCTAGATGGCAACGGCATTAAATGACAATTAATGGATAGCAGAATAACCCACTTCCAAATTTGTTCCTGTGTCTGGGTCATTTTTCCCAGTTTTGAAAGAATGAGCTAAAGCGGGCAGTGTGCAGAGGAGCCCCAGATGGGATAGCATCTTGAAAACTGGCATTCTCTGAATACTCATGCAGAATCCAGAAATATCTCATGGTCAGGATGAAAGGTCTAAATTTAATACCAAAAACAGAAAATTGGCTTAGCTTCCCTGTACTCTGCACAGGAAAGTTCTTGTTTGGAAGTTCTGAAATGAGAAGGGGCTGGAGGCATTATGTTCACAGCATCCTCAGATTTTCATGGAGACCTGGGGAGTCTGCTGATACCTCAAGACCTCAGTTGGCCCATGATGGAAGCTTGGATTGATGAAAGATGATTTGTTGGGAGGAAATCAGGGAGAAGGTTTGCACTGATACAGATACTCCACACAATAAGTACAGGCTTATTTCTTCCTCTTCTGGTTTTGCTTACCCAGCTTTTAAGATTTAACCACTTTCCCTTGGGGCGCCTGGGTGGCTTAGTCGATTAAAATGCTGACTCCTGATTTCAGCTCAGGTCATAATGGCCTCACGGTTCATGAGATCGGGCCCCATATCAGGCTTTGTACTGACAGCATGGGGCCTGCGTAGCTTTCTCTCTCTCCTCTCTCTCTCTGCTCCTCCCCAACTGGTGTGTGCATGCACGTACACACTCTCTCTCAAATAAATAAACTTAAAAAAAATTTTAACCACCTTCACTGTAGGAGACATCTGCTGTTCTTGTTTGCATTGAGTCTCTATCTCTGGTAACAGAACCCGGCTCTTCCTTTTTTTGGGAGTTGCCCTCATGTGACTCATCTATCAGAGTCATAGCCATTGAATCAAGAATGGTCTGACACACTTGAGACCAGTGAAGAGTCGGCTCTGGGAATTTGCTGGAACTATTGGAGAAAAGATTCTACTTTTAGTGAGGTTGCTAGACTGGAAGAATGTAGACCTCTTGCTACAAGCGGCCCATTCAGAGGGAAGTGGAGACAAGAGACAGAGAAATGGAGGGAGAAAGAATGTCAAGATGACATCACTGACCAAATCAAGCCATACCTGAAGGTAGAATATCCTTGGACTTCACAGTTGCATGAAATGATGAGCCCCTCCTTGTTTTAATTTTGTACTAAACTGACTCTTAAAAAATACACTTGACCAGGAGTGATTTTTCCCCCCTCTGAATAAGCAGAGCATGGATTCACAACTGTGGATGGCCTTGCAGTATCTACAAGGTTAAATAAGGGAGTCATAAGGGGCAGCTTCTAGATTCTCTCACCAACTCCACACCTGTCCCCACCCTCTTCTCCACTAGAGGCTGGTGAACTTTTAAAGCACACTTCCTTGTAACAGCGTCTTTATCAGAGGGCTTCAGGTGGGAAGCATATTGGGAATTTCAGTGCTTTGGTAGCAAGAGACAAGTAGGTTTCAACAACAGTTTGTTGTTAAAAACCAAAAACTGCTAAAGAATCCACATTTTGGGTTCTGTAGTCTACAACCATGAGCACCCAAGAGGCTAAGATTAACAAGAATTGAAAAGACAAACCCAAGAGTGAATGGCCACTCACCTCCCACTCACCCATGCCCTTGACGTTATATACCCTGTTCATCTGACTTGGCCAATGGAAGTGCTTTAGCCATGAGTCGGTGGAGGTATGTACATGGATGTTCACAGCACCATTGTTCATTATAGCCAAAAAGTGGAAACAATCCAAATGTGCACCAACTGAGGAATAGATGAACAATGGAATATTATCCTGGCCACAAAAATGGAATGAGGTACTGATACATGCTACAATGTGGATGAACCTTAAAAACACAATACTAACTGAAAGAAGCCAGACACAAAGAGTCACATACTTTATGATTCCTTTAATATGAAATGTCCAGAAAAGGTATTTTCATAGAGAAGGAAAGCAGATTAGTGGTTGCCAGGGGCTGAGCGGTGATAGGGGTTTTGGAAATCGTGAACTGGGAGTTGATGACTAAAGGGTCCAGGGTTTCTTTTTGGGTGATGAAAATGTTCAGTGATTAGATAGTGGTGATGGTTGCACAACTTTGTAAGTATGCTAAAAGCCATTGAATTGTACACTTTATTTTTTACAATAATTTTTAAAAATTTGAGTGTACTTGACACACATTGTTAACATTGTTTTCAGGTATCCAACATAGTGATTCGCTGTATGTTATGTTATGTTATGCTTAGCACAAGTATAGTTACCGTCTGTCAACATACGTCACTGTTACAATATCATTGACTATACTCTCTACACTGTGCCTTTTATTCCCATGACTTAGTCATTCCTTAACTGGAAGGCTGTTTCTTGCTCTCCCTTTCAACTATTTTGCCCATCCCCCCCTTCCCTCTGGCAACCACCAGTTTGTTCTCTGTATTTATAGTATGACTTGACTTTTTGTTTGTTTATTCATTTGTTTTGTTTTTTAGATTCCACATATGAGTGAAATCATATGGTATCTGTCTTTCTGAGTTATTTTGCGTAGCACTACCCTCTAAGTCCATCCTTGTTGCAAGTGGCAAGATCTCATCCTTTTTTATGGCTGTGTGATATCCAGTGTGTGTGTGTGTGTGTGTGTGTGTGTGTGTGTGTGTGTGTGTGT